TTTTTTTTTTTTTTTCTTTCCCCCGTCTCCGTTTCTCTAGAGTGCCTCGTCCAAAATGCCTTTAAAACATGATTTGGATTTGGGGGAAAACCTTAAAGCCTTAAACCTGCAAGGTGAAATCTGCATTTTGGCTCTTTGTAAGGAAAAGTCACGCTTGCTTGAAAGTTTGAGTCTATTAAAATATTTTAAAAGCCAGGTGCGAATGTTGGAGTCTAGTCTGTTCGCATGTTGACAGAACGGTGGGTGGGAATCACAATAACTTATTTTCACACGTGCCGCTTATCTCTCTGAAAAGTCTCAAGGAGTTTGTAAGCAGACGGATATACAACTTAGGTTTCCTAAGGATTCATTGCTCCCATATTTGGCATTCTGAGTATATTTCTTGGGAACATGTAGCATCTATTTAGGCATTGCCAGAGCTGGGAGGGGCAGGCCTGTGTTCCCAGGTGAAACTTCTTGAGACTTCCAGACAGCATCTGGGGGTGATGGGGGAAGAAATGGCAGGTTTTCAGACTGGAAGGCTCCAGGAGCAGTACAGTACCTAGCTTGTGGGCTCCTTGGGAGAATTCACATTAGCTGAGGCCGAACAGAATGTGCACAGTAATCCTGGCATACAGCAGGTGCTCATTGGTGCTGGCTCTAAATGGTTCCTTGGCGCTGTGGGGCCTGAGGCTTCCTAGTGGATGAGCGACCTTTCGGCTCCCCTGCTCTGGGGCACTGATACTGGATACTGTTGCAGGCCAATGGTCTGGCCATTTGGCAGCTCCTGGAGGAACCCATCCTTCATTGACAGCCTCGCTCCATACACTTGCATATCTGAACATGTCAGTATCCCCCTTGCTCGACATTCACCATGACGATAATGATTGTTTTCGTTTGGCTCCATTCTGTGTGCTTAGTACGAGGGAAATTGACAATTCAGGTGATTCTTCTCTACCTTCCTTGTCTCCTCCAACTTCTTTTTATTTTTTTTTTTTTAATTTTTTTTTTCAACGTTTATTTATTTTTGGGACAGAGAGAGACAGAGCATGAACGGGGGAGGGGCAGAGAGAGAGGGAGACACAGAATCGGAAACAGGCTCCAGGCTCCGAGCCGTCAGCCCGGAGCCCGACGCGGGGCTCGAACTCACGGACCGCGAGATCGTGACCTGGCTGAAGTCGGACGCTTAACCGACTGCGCCACCCAGGCGCCCCTCCAACTTCTTTTTAAATCAAGATGGCAGAGTACCTGGTAATTTATGCTAAGATTGCTAAATAACCACCTTTCCTTTGATCTTCTCAGGTGCGGAACCAGCACTGGAGTCTTATTATGGAGAGCGTGGTCCCATCTGACAAAGGCAATTATACCTGTGTGGTGGAGAACGAGTACGGCTCTATCAATCACACGTACCACCTTGATGTTGTCGGTGAGTTTGCTTCTCCCCGAGGGACAGCTCTACGCCCGCCTGCTACAGCGTGACTCATTTAACCCCGCGAAAGTGAGTCTGGTTTCTCCCCATGGTTTAAGGAGAGAAACCGTTGGTTCGTTTTCCTTCTTTCTGAATGTAAGCTGTTGTTTGAGAAGGATTCTTCCATCATTTGACGATGTTCCTGTTGCCCGATTAGCCATGTTTTACGTATTTTGTGTGATCCTCTTGGTTCCCTGGCACCGTTTTGGGTGAAATGGACGTGGTGTGAAATGTGTTGACACTCTGAAAGCCGGCATTACTCTTAAGAACGTTCGTGTGTTCAGGGAAAGGGTACAGATACGCGCTAGGAGAGCTTGGTTTTCAAAAGGGAGGCAGCATTATCCAACGAAGGGCAATTGGGCAATGCTGGCTAAAGAGTAAAGGAAAAGGTATTGTGATGACTGAACTTCTAGCTGGCTGGAGGAAGGATAGTGTCCAGGGGCCCTTTACTTCCATCAGAAGAAGGTCATTCAGTGCTCTACTGTGGGTTCAGCTCCCGTGGAAAGGGAACTGTGTATACGGGCTTGTAAATTCCTTTTTATCTAAGTGCTCAGATAGGTAGGCTACTTTAATTAGATGTCTTAAGATCGATAGGCTGTTGTCCAGGAATTCAGATGTCTTCCTATCTTGCCCTTTATGATGGGTTTTGTTGTAACTGATAAAGGAAGGGTGTTTCTCTGTCTTGTTGGAGGACTGGAGATACCTAGGATGTGTCTCCTTGTTGCAGGGATGGTGGGCTAAGATCCCTTCTTTGGCACGACCCATCATCTTTTGCTCTGCCTTGTCCTCCACCCTGACTCACGGCATCACCACCTGACCTGGCTGGGGGTCAGCTAACCAGTTCACCCTTCTCCACTTGCAGATTGCCAGCTCCCAAGGCCTCAGGTCCAAGCTCACCTTGATTGATTTTTGCCTTAACGTGACCCTTTGTTTCTCCACAGACTCCTGCCCCGCCACCGTGTCTATGAACGAAGGCTTTCCTCCACCATTTTCTAGGCGTGTGTCCCTAGTATTATTTCATATGTGGGCATTTCTTCTCCTTCAGTAAACTATAAACTCTTTGAAGAGAGGCCCCACAGATACCTGAATTGCCCAAAGAACCATTAAGAAACCTTCCAAAAGCTTGACTAACCACATTTCATAGATTTTGGCTAATGGAAGTTTTAGGTTAACTGAAAATGAAACAGAAGCCATTTAGATTTTCTATCAAGTTAAATTAAATCCAGAAGGAACTCCCCCTAGGAAAGCATGAGATCGTCTTTATTTCCATGTGTACGTAAGGATTCAGTGAAAAAAGTTCTTGTCCTTCAGAAGCCTTACTGTGAAATTTGGTTGCTTTCACATAATGTTGCTCCTGTGGGCATTCATAAAAGACTGAGTTCCAGAACCCTCTTTTCTCACGCAGAGACTCGTGGAAGCTTTCTTAGTGGGAGTTACTACGTACAGATATTTTACAAATCAAACACAAAGAAGTAACGCTCAAATATGGGACGAAAATGGTGAACATTTATTTTGGCATCGATGTGCCGTAAATCTGTTGGTTAAGCACACAACGTGGAATTCACATCGGGCCTCACATCTCCTGAATTTGACACGAAAGTGTTTCTATTTAAGGAAAGAAGGTTCGGGGGCTAAAAGTTCTCAATGCCTAATTTTGAAACAAGCAGTTTATTGTGCGAATAAAATAATTGTGCTGTAGCAATCCGCGGGGCTCATGGCTGTGTAGGCCTACAGATTGTTCATTGGGATCGGTCGGGGACCATTCCAGGAATCCCCCCCCCCCCCCCCCCCCCCCCCCCCCCCCCCGTCAGCTTGGCCACCCCAGCCACGGGCTCTGGCTCCTAGCAGGTTTTAGGTTGAGTTGTTATGTAAAACATTCAAAAGCCCCCTCTCCCCCCACCTCTCCTTTGAGCTTTCTGGCAGCTCATCTCTGTGAAGCCCTGAAATCTCTCTTACAGTTTTAGGGTTGGATTTGAACTGGGCTGCTGAATAATGGAATTGTGCTGTCTAATGTTAATCCCCTGGCAGTCAGTCTTGTTGAAAAGAGCGTATGATTCAGTGGTGTGATGTAGAGAGGAGCATAGAGCGTATGGAGTAATGAATGCAGAGAAAGGCCCGATTATGTCACAAATTTGGGAGATTGCCCAGCCAAACGTGGGCCAATAATGACACAATGCTGGTTGGGAATATCCATTAAAGCTCAACCCCTAATAATTTTCCAAGCCTTGAACCTTCTTTATAAATAGAAGCCAAAAGTCAGTGGAGTATAAGACATTTTCAGGAAAGACGGAGGTGTGAAATACTCTCATCTTTGCTCAAAACCCCAGTAATTGCTTTGAGAAGCACTCATAAAATAAGAAGTGAGTCAGCTCGAGAGTCTCATGTAGACTTACAGGGTTGGCAGGCGGTCGTTCTGAACGTCTCCGCGAGTGGCGACAAAAGGGAATTCGGGCCCGAACAACGAGTTTCTGGTGGCCCCGCGGCCCAAGTGCAGGATTCCACCCCGTGATCACCGCTTCTCGGTCACGTCCGCGTCTCCCGGAAAAACCGGAGCCTCTTTCCCAGAGAAAGTCAAGTCCTGTTCTCGTTCACATCCTCCGAGGGTTTACTTTTGTTGCTATGCTACATAGGGTTGCGGTTCAGATATTACTAAGCATCAAAATGGGTGAGATCTTTTTATTGAAATCCTTCCTTGGAACGGCATTCCCCATAAGGACTTCCACGTAAAAGCCGTGTAATTTAAGTGACATTCTTGTGGCTCGGGCACGAAGTGGCCAGCCATTGTCGTGTGTGAGGGAAGGGCTCTCGTTTATGGGCGCTCTTTTGGGAGCCTTGCTTGATCCTCACTAAAATTGACACCATTATTTTTCAGCCATTTACTTGCAGGGGAAAATTAGCGTGAAGCACCGCTTCTGAGTAATTGTGCCGATAGTAAAACAGGCCCTCCTCAGAGAGCCGGCGGGTCTTGGCCATCGCGCCTCGGAGGACGCCGCAGTCCTGGATTCTGGCGGGGCCTCTGTCCCCAGGAAGCTGTGGCCTCGGACTCATCCTGAACCTTTGGTTTCAGCGGGGTTGGGTCCTTCTGGAGACTGTGCAGGGGGGACGGCGGGG